GGATATCGTCCTCTTTTGGAAGACCAAACAAAGTAGTTTCACTTTCACAACGAAACAGCGTCACACACGGTGACCTAGAGTGAGCGGAGGCCGGGAGCTAGAGTGAGCGGAGGCCGGCGGGCTTGAGAATGGCACGGCCGGCGGATTCGATGAAGGAGCGTCCGGCGGACTTGTGGCAAGCACATGTGATGACCCCGGGCTGGACATCCGGCGATCTACAGCGTGAAGTAATGTATTTCCTCAGCGACCAGCACAGATCAGCTCCAGGCATGACGAAGCGGATATCGTCCTCTTTTGGAAGGTCAAACAAAGTAGTTTTGCTTTCACAACGAAACATACAGTGCCTTCACGACATGGCAGCGGTGTCAACAACAATATTACAGCGAGAATAAAAGTTACGCCTTTTTTCTTTGCGTGAACATTTCTTCCCACATCGTGACGTAGACATGTGGGGGTGTGTTAGAACAAGCCGTTTAGGTAGGCGTGGTTGACTCTTAACTTTTATAAAGAATATCTCTTTGGATTTGAGACTTTAGTCTTTGCAACTTTACAGATCTTCTTTATGCACCAAGAGCTTGTAACACTCCAAAGAGAAAGGAAAAATTGAAATTGCATCATATGACCCCTTTAAAGTCTGGTCCCTGTTTTTATACAGTCTATGGTCTGGTCCAGCGTTTATCGGGTTGTGCGTCAGTAATAATGGTCCGTGGGGAAACACGGTGTTCTGTGTGTAGGTACCGTAAATGGACTAAACGAAGCCTCGAGGCAAATTATTTGCCTCTGATTTTTTGTATTCGAATTACTCGAGGTATTCGAGGAATCGTTTCAGCCCTAGATTGTATCAGTCACTCAGTATATACTTTTAATAATGTTAAAAAGGTTTAATATTTTTTAATTAGATTATAAACATGTCCATTTCGTTGGGAGTGCGCTTGTGCGCTTCTAAATAGCTGATATTTGAGTGATTCTGATGCATCACATCTATGTAGACAGACAAATTGCTGCGCCATGTCAGGTTAGGACACGGTGTAATATTGTAACATTGCAATCTGCTTTTTAAAAACAAAAACAATGCTATTTTAATACAGAATTCAATAATTTAAATAAGAAAAGTAATAAAAACAAAAGCACAGATTAATTGCATTATACATTTTGTATGTAATAGTGTAAGTATATTTTTCCTGTGCAACAATAATTAAATATCTGATGACTTAATAGGTGAAAT